ATTTTTAATTTGAAATTCTACAGTATTAAACAAACAAAAAATAAGTTAATTATTAAGTTTTTGAAAATAATAATTTATTTTAAAATTTAATAACAGTAATGCTTTGATTTAATAATTAAATTAAGGACATATCTTTACAGTGAAGTGATTTTCGAAGACGTGTATGCATTTATTATAAAGCTTAATAAAGTATTTAAATATAAATTTTATTTACACGCCTAAAACAAGACAATAATTCAGCAAATTGTTCTCATTTTGGTGTGTAATTGTATTACTTCACTGCCTTGTAGACAACTCAATAACCATTGTCGTATGAAAAAAAGGATCATACCAAATCTAAGGTGAATGATGCGTAAAATCCCAATCCATGAGATCAGGATCCGTAAAATCAAGATTATTGCATTTTCTAGCTATAAAAATAATAAAAAAAAATAAATACAATTTTATTTATAATTGCAGGAAAATCTATCAAATACTTTGTAATATTTAAATTTGATTTTTTATTCTTGATTTACTGATTTACATAGAAAATAACGATTTTCTAAACATTGCATAGAAGATTATATTAATTAAAATAAAAGAATTAAAGTTTATATAATTTAAATTTTCTAAATGAATTAATAAATTTATTGTTTTACTTTGTGATATTTGAACTTTAAAGCTACTCCATTTATAGTCACGGTGATTGATGAACAGAATTTATTTTATCGCCAATAATAAATCAATAATCTTCGTTCATTTAGAGGAAAGTTACAAAATGATTATCGAATAGAACAAAACAAAATAATTATCGACCTTTATTTTGGCTACTCATTTAATTATTCATTTAGAATTGATTAGAAATATATTTTTAGAAATAATTTTTTTTTAATTTTATGTAAAAAAAAAAAATTCTTACAACAAACACTTTTATAAATTTAAAAATCCTAGTCATAAAATCCAATATATTGGCATTTTTATTTAAGAAAAAAAAAAGTACGTTTAATATTACAGTCGAACCTTCGACAAGGGCCATTTCTTCAGGAACTTTTAACAAAAATACATAGAAAATGAACGGTGGTTTTTTATGTTTACGTCAGTGGCCGTTCGTCACAGGTTCGATTGTATTTCAGTTTTCTTCGCTGGTCTCCTCTTGCTGTTCTTTTTTTTTAATTCTTCATCACTCCTAAGATAATATCAGATAAGTTTTCTGCAAAACAAATAAATTATTAATATCAATTTTTGATGAAATTTTATAAAACGAAAGTAATAATAATAATAGTTTTCAANAAATAAAAGAATTAAAGTTTATATAATTTAAATTTTCTAAATGAATTAATAAATTTATTGTTTTACTTTGTGATATTTGAACTTTAAAGCTACTCCATTTATAGTCACGGTGATTGATGAACAGAATTTATTTTATCGCCAATAATAAATCAATAATCTTCGTTCATTTAGAGGAAAGTTACAAAATGATTACCGAATAGAACAACAACAAAATAATTATCGACCTTTATTTTGGCTACTCATTTAATTATTCATTTAGAATTGATTAGAAATATATTTTTAGAAATAATTTTTTTTTAATTTTATGTAAAAAAAAAAAATTCTTACAACAAACACTTTTATAAATTTAAAAATCCTAGTCATAAAATCCAATATATTGGCATTTTTATTTAAGAAAAAAAAAAGTACGTTTAATATTACAGTCGAACCTTCGACAAGGGCCATTTCTTCAGGAACTTTTAACAAAAATACATAGAAAATGAACGGTGGTTTTTTATGTTTACGTCAGTGGCCGTTCGTCACAGGTTCGATTGTATTTCAGTTTTCTTCGCTGGTCTCCTCTTGCTGTTCTTTTTTTTTAATTCTTCATCACTCCTAAGATAATATCAGATAAGTTTTCTGCAAAACAAATAAATTATTAATATCAATTTTTGATGAAATTTTATAAAACGAAAGTAATAATAATAATAGTTTTCAAACGATTAAAAAATATTCTAGCAATGGCTTCTGTTACGAAGATGATGAACCAGAAAATAGTTTCTTAATATACTTCTGAACGTTTTTAAAGCTGTATAACTTTACAACTAATACTTTCATCTTCTTAATATAATATATTTTATAATCTTCTTCGATGTTTATTTCCAGTTTCATAAAACTTTTAAATTATATCCATAAAGTGAGTTAATATTTAATGTCTTTGTAAATTGTTAAGCTTATTAAAGAATTTCTGAGGAAAAGTGCATCCAATGGTATAACATAAACTTTTCATTTCGGAGACGTTAAATTGCTTGAGTATTTATAGTTAAAATGAATATAAGTAGTTTATTCTTGACTTATTTAAACATTTTTACTGGAAATTTTCAAATAAAAACGAACTTGTGCGATTAACAAAATATTTTAATTATGTAAATTATATAATAGAAATTAAGAAATTTTTTTTCTATAATCTTTTTCGTGGTTATATACTTTATTATAATTAATAACAATACAGTAGAGCGTCGATTTTCCGAATCAATTGGGGACTGGAGTTGTCCGGATAACTGATATTTCGGATAACTGATTTACGTACGATAAAATAGTTTAACGTATCCGATGTCGAAATTTTTCTCCGTTGCATGTCGCTTCGCGTTGAATTTTCGTCGATGTTAAGCCTAACAAAGACTATTGTATCGTTAAAAATTATTTTTTTGTTTTGTACAAACAAAATAAATATATTTAAAAATATAAAAATAATAAAAAATTATACTTCAGATGTTAATTTAGTATCAAAAACGTAAAATATTTGAGTAACCCAAGACATATCCAAAGATTGAAGCGCCACAGCACTGGCGAAAATTTAAATTTGCCGACTGGAATTCTTTCGGATGATTGACTTTCGGAAAATCGACGCTCTACTGTATATTATATTGTTCTTATTAATTGTAGCCTCTAACAACTTTTGCTACTGTCATAACATGATATAATAGAAAAAGTTGTTAGAGATTGTAAACTTAAATTGCCTGAAATTTCTACGAAAAATATTTAAATAGTTCGGTTAATTAAATAATAATAATTTTGCTATATTAAAACGTTATTTAAGATGTTTTTAATGGTTACGTTTCCGAGATTTAATGGGGGAAATCACCACCCGTTCGTCTATTGGTGGTGGTTACCCCACTAAATCTCATAAATGGTCATGGTTACACACCTTGACCGTTGCTGAGATTGACTATTACATGATTAAATTTCATTGACCACACATACATGATTAAATTTCACATTGTACTATGTTTATAGGGTTTCGGAGTGAGGGATGGTAAGTGAATTGCCACTATCCTCCCCATTCCGAAATATATATGATAGGGGATAAACGAGATTTGAACTGCACGATTCCAGGATACGATACAAAGCAAGTTAAATAAAAACATTTAATAATAATAAATGTGACTTTCTTAAATTTCAATAGAGAGAAAGTATTTCAAATTCTTATATATTTTCTTTTTCTTTATATCGAGGACTTTGGTTTTGTATGCGGTAATGTTGGACTTAATTCGACAATATAAAAGGACTATTGTGCATCATACAATTGAACAAAAGCCTTTCGGATAAATTCAATTTAATCTTTATATTAGAAAGAAATTTGAATGGAACAAAAATATTAATAAAAATTGTCATATAAAAATGAACTTTTATATAGATTTCTATTCTTAATCTTTAACCAATTTCTGCGTTATTAAATTTTAAAGTACAGTAATTGAAATGATTAATTTACGATCATATATTACGAATTTTATGTATTTGTTTTGATCAAATGAGTAGAAATATTTTAAAATTTAAGTGAAAAAATTAATATTCATACGTTTTGTCAGAAATGTAATAATACGGTACAATAAAATCTTTCGAATATTAAAAATGGCTGATCATTGAATTTTATAGAAACATTTAATAACTGCACAATAGAATAAATTATAATAATACGATTTGTATATTCCTTTTAAAAGTTGTTCCACTTATAACTTCTTTACTAATTCTTCTTGGTTTTTAAAATAAATTGTTTTTAAAAAAAAGTTCTTAATACCTTCGACTTAAAAAAAAACGAAAAATCTTACATAATTGTGCTTATTATGTAGGATTATTCAGTACTTTTTTAAATAAATGTCTTCATCTAAATATTAAATAATCTTTATTGCGGGAAGGTTTTTGTTAGAAGAACATTAGAAAGTCTTTAATAAATAAATAATATAAATAAAGATAACGTTTATCTTCGTTATTTTTTTATTATTGAGAATTATTTAAAAAGTTTCAAGGAAGGACCTAGAGATTGGCAGTCATTCTCCTTAGATTTCTTTTATTTCTAACACCAGTTTCATTGTTTCTTTCAAATATTTTACTATTCAAATAGAAGTCTTTCGCTCCCAAGTTTGAATAGTATTACTATACGAAAATTACTGTTAAAAATGTAAATTTTTACAAACAGGCGATGGCTTCTCAATACAACTTTTGAAATATTTCAACAATTTTCTTTTGTATTAATAAAATTACTGTCAAAATTAGAACAGTTTCGAAATCCTAGACTCTTACCTATATATAATATTAGAAGCATTAGATAATTGAAAATTGAGATGAATAGTAGTTATTCTAGTTTCGCATCTCGAATTAACATAATGAATCACTTTGTCTGCGATACTCAATTAAACGCGAGAAACAAAATACAGAGCAATAAAGGAAATTTCAAACAATACATTAGAAGGGCAGATTTATCCATCGAACGAATTAAAGAAACCAAAATATATGTTTTAAGTGTGACAATTATATTTAAAACGATGGGACATTTACATGTTTGGTAATGTTTAAATCGATGTAATGTTTAATTTATTTAATTCGTTACAATTACTGTTAAAATTAGATTACTCGCCTGTAATTTAGGCATTGAATTTTTGATAATTATAACCTTTATATATGTATATTAAAATAATAGCTAATTTTAATAGGAAAAAAATGAAATAAAAATAATATTTTTTATTATCTTTCAGCTCAAGATGGCTCAAAATATCACAGCTCTCGCTTTATGGATTCTGCCGCCATCCAACAGTCAGATAATGAAAATAGATGGAGAAGAACCAAATGGATGGAATGGCGTTTTTAAACTTGTCTTCCTTTCGGCTGTGGCAACCGGTGGTACCATGGGTAGTGTCTTCGTCATCAGTGCAGTAACGGTCATAGAGCCATTTCAAGTGCGCGGCAGCATTTATCTTGTGAGTTTAGCCATGGGCAATATGCTGGTAACCATTTTGGTGCTACCGGCATCCTGTGTCGCCATTTTGGCCAATATCCCTCAGGATCCAAGTATTTGCACTTTTCAGTGGCTTACTACGGTGGTGTGTTTTCTCGTATCCGTCCAATCCTTTATGTTTATGGCTTTAGACAACTGTTTAGGATTAAATAGTTTAGTTACATATGATTTATGTTGCACAAAGTGGAGAATTCTTTTTGGCGTGTCCGTTGTTTGGTGTTGTTCCGTGAGCTTTGCAGTCATTCAATACGTCATGGGATACGGACCATCTTTCTGCGATTCAAATTTCAACGTATGGCCACCGTATCACATCACTGCCGGAATATTATTGGTGATATGCCCACTTTTGCTGACCATCATTTATTTCACACGAGCCATCTTCAAATTGCGAGATTTTAAATTACAACTAGAGGTTTTAGAGGATCCTACTGCATACGTTTTAACAGACGAATGTTTGTTGAAGAGTAATATAGTGGTGTTTATAGTGATGTTAATGATGTGGATGCCATATGCCGTAGTTATAGTGATCAGTGCTCTGCGTCCAGTTACCATAAATTTAATGGACACATCTTGGTGGGTAGCCATAACCAATTCTTGTCTTTATAGTTATGTGTACGCTGCGACCAACAGAGATTTTCGCGAAGCATTTAATAAATTGTTTTATTATTGCTGTTGTAAAAGTCACGTGACGTTCACACGCCGTTCGCGCGACCCCAGGCGAGCGGGTAATGGAATTGGATTGAGAGTTCATATTATTCCGGGTCTCAATATTTACGCTCAGAGAAAAGAAACGGCGAAAGAACTACGCGTACATCCGCCCTGTAAAGGCACTTGCGACCTTTGACACCTTTCCTCAAACTTTTATCAACATTCGATTGTTAATTACTGTCGATACGGACTAACGATTTAAAAAAATAAAAGGCAGTTGTATCAAAAAGTGTCCTTCGTAAAAGTATTTGGAAGATAACTGCCGGAGTATTTATTTGTTAAAAAACAATCTGAGGCGAAAATATGTATTTTGTGTATTTGTGTAGTATACATATATATAAAAATTGTAATTTTATGATGATTTGTGAGAAAAATATTAACTGTCTTTAGCCAAAAATACAATATAAATAATGCTTTACATATCGTTGCCAGTCAAATAAATAAACATTTACTATTTGTTAAATGTGCCTCTAAGCAAAATACAATTTCTCATTGTCATAACGTAAAAGTCATTTCCACAATAAATCCTAGACCCAGTTATTATCTTACCTTTAATATTACGTTAAATGAGTATTTTTAAACTCAAAAATAATCATTCTCGCAATATATTTTATGTATAAAACACTAAATTTTTAGTCGAATCTTATAAAAATTCGTGTATAATATTGTTCCAGATGTTAGTTTAGTATGAAATAAAACAACTTTATTGGGCTGCAATTTTTAAATTGCAAAACCTATACATTTCCACTGTCGTTCGTCTGTCTGTCCTTCGTTAATTTCGAAAACGAAGTTAGATAGAATTAAATCGAGACCAGATATGGAAAATTTGGTCTCGATTGAACCAGGTATTTTTAATTTAAAATTTTCTTGAGAACAGAGTTAGATAGATGGATTCGATTGTTATCAGGAGAAGTGTGATTTACAGGGAAACGTCATTACTAAAATGGGAACCAGACATGGAAAGTTTAGGGCCCTGAGGCCCAGATTAATTTAAACTAAAATACGATTATAAATTGCAGCCCGATATTCTGACGTTGAACACTTTTTTACATTAATCTGTCATTTAAAATTAAATAAAAATATGATATAAGAGATTTCACAGATTAACTTCATTGGATTATAAATCTGATTTTGATATATCTACTGCAGGAAAATAATATATATAGGCCCTATATATATCTTTTAACCTTCTAGAATTAGCATTACATGAGAATTCCGAAAACCGAAGATTTTCAAAGAAATCTGAATCCATACCTAACGTGGTTCGAGTGTCGTGTGACTGATATTTCCATCTTGTCAGTAGTTACGGTTAAAGCTCATTCTTCAATAATTTTTCTTACTTTATCATTTGAAATTTTTCTGATAACTTTCAGAAAAGGAATAAAAATGATAGAAAAATATTCTGATATGACAAATAACAATTGTTATAGATCATTGCAAAAGATTTTTTTTTTTGTATAATTTTGATTCTTGATATTGATGATATTCTAATTAAATTATAATTTAACTATAAATGAGTGTTTGCTTTAATTTTATTATTCTGACATTTAGGAACAAGTCTATATTTAATTTAAACAATAAATGGATTTTAAAACGTTTAACAAAAGGGTTTAAATATTTATTTTGTCATCAATATCAAAATTCAATTTATTAAAGGAAACTTATGAAATGCCACGTTAAATTTAAATAGAAAAAATATAAAAAATATAGCCTATATATTTATAAACATGTTTTTTTCACTCTTAAATTTCCTTCCCTTGTGACCTATATTTTAAAATCAAATATGTATTCGTATAACGTTTAAATTATGATAATTAGCAAAATTAAACGTGTTTTTATGTTAAAAAAAAATTAATATATTTGCAGCAATTTTATTAAAAATTTAAAAAAAAAGGCAACAATATTTTCTTGCGTGAAGAAACTACGTGTTAAATTTTATGAGAGTGAAACTAACAAGGATATTCCTATTCGTTGACAGATTAATCTGATCGGATTATCGATCGACTGTATATTGTTATTGATTATCTTACGCTAGTATATCGTTGTTTAAGAATGGAGCATTTAGTTTTAAAACTGTATCATATGTGTATATATATATCAAGAATCTGTTTCTTGTATAGCAAAAATTTTTCTATTTCTAGCTCAAACTGAGCGTAAACAAAAGATATTTCAGAATTTCCATTATATATCAGTGGAAGAGCATCTGATAATTTGCACGCTTCGTAATGATAATCGATTTGCTTATTTGAATTCATTCCAAAATAACAGAGAATGGACCGTTGCCTTTTAGACCTTAATGAAAAGTGTCATTTTTGATACTAGAAATAGCCACGATTTATTTCATTTTTATCGCCTGGATGACACATTCGTCATCGATCTAAGATATTATCTAATAATTTAAATGCGAAAATCTGATATTCATTGGAAACTGCAAAAAACTTTCTAATTTTCACTTCCAAACAAAAAAAAAAAAAAAGTTACCTCTATTTTAAATTTTATAAAAGAATATTACTTATGCCTTTGCAGAAATAATAAATTTACGTGTAAGACGAAAGCCTGGAAATCTCAATAATAGTTTATTTTAATAAAGAAGGAAACGACTTTTCTCTTTTATTGAAGTAATAGAAAGAGATATTCGAGAATCTCGTATCGATCTGAAGGTTTCTGATGTCTGCTCATCAAAGAAATTCCATCCTGTTTTAGATCTCACGAGAATAAATTTCGATTTCATATATATATATAACTAATAAATCATCGTCTTCTTTAAATTATTAAACGTTTGAAATTAATTTAAATTACCTAAACTATAATAACGTATATATATATTTTTTTCTATTTTACATTTTAAAAATGAGATGAGATATATAATTACTTCGTTATTTCTCCGGATGAATGATGATTATTATTAAGAGAAACATTCAAAATGTGAAAAGTGTATGCACCATCCAATGATCTAGCAATTTCTTCTGTTTTTTTTGGGGGGGGAGTGGCAGAATAAAACTAAGAACGAATTATAGTCGTTTTTTTCTAATAATTCAGACACGTGGATCTGTACTGGACACTAACGATAAGCTAGCGTGTACTCTACAAAATGTTTTTATCGACGGTCAAATGCTACAAGAGGTAATTCACCATTTTCCACGTGACTGTCGACCGACGTCAGTTGTTGTTTTCATGATAACTTATCGTTAGAGATCAATTTTATTTTATCCAGAAAGTTTTTCCTTTAATAATCTTCTAGATAAAGGTAAAATATTGGCTCAAAATAAATAATTTCAACTATTCTTGTTTCTTTTAATTACTTTTCGTCTGATATATAGGCTATAATAGAGGGAAAGTATGGCGATGGATCAAAAAATGATCCCCTCCAAGATTTTTACATTTTTTAACTCGAAACCTTGAAACGTAGAGAAATAATTTTAAAAAAAATTCGGAAATTTTTCTGTATGTTTGGATATTAGTATGTGTGGCGAGTGCACGATTTTCTTCACCCTGTTTGAAGCTTAATAACTCCTGTTCTTTTTGTCGAAAATATCCGAAATTATGCAAAGATTTGTTTATTAGGGAGATTGATGATATTAAATTTTGGTGGTTAAAGGTCGAGGAGGTGGGAAGATACAGTTGGTTGCTTGTCATATCTCGAGTAGAGTAGGAATTAATGACGATTTTACTCGTTATTAGCATATACAATTTTCTTTTTTATAAAACTCATCCATACCCTGGAAATTAAGCTTTTTTTACCGTTTTTTAATAAAATATCGTAACAGATAGCCCTACCAAAATTTTAAATGTTGCCGGGAAAGTTAAGCAACTCGTTGCTGGATTTTTTAAAAATATTCTGTATTGAATTTACTTTCTCATAATATAAAGAAAATTGGTAAATATACTTCAACATATGAGATTTAGTTATCATAAACACCTATATATATTTTCTTCTTTTTAATTGATTAATTAATAAAAAGTAAATTAGTGATTAAATTTCTAGCCGCTTAGTATTTCAGAAAGGATTTTGTCATTAAATTTTGATCGATTCCTATGGTCCATTTTGCTTGATTGAATTATTAGTCACTTAGAGTCGAATCTGGTTGTCTTAAACAAAGGGATGTGTTAATATACAACAGATGTTGCGCTGCTATTTCGAATAAATCAATATAATTATCAATATATGGTGATACTTTGAGTAAAACAATATTGTAAGTACGCTTGTTAATGTGTAGAAACTCGAAATTTGGTAGTTGTAGTTCTTAGTATGCTAATTAAAATATGAAAAGTGAAAAATTCCATGAATAGAATGGTTCTTAAGACAAGTAACGTATATACAGTACAGTCAAACCTCGATTTAGCGTCAATGGATACGTGTGAACAGATCTTCCGTATAAATATTAATTAAATACAAAACTCTTCAACCAGATTTCGCATTAAAAATGATATTTTCAAACGTTCAAAGTCAAATTTGTTTGTACAGTAGCTACATCTCATTAGTATAAGCTATGTAATTCATATTTGAAGTAATTCAGTTTAGCGCCACACTCGATTTAATACCAATTTCAGATGTGAGAAAATTCTTACGCTAAATTCGAAGTTTCGACTGTATTCTAGGATTTTGACTCCTCAGCAGAATTTGATTGCCGAAAGATATAAAGAAAAGAAACCTCAAAGAAGTACAGAACAGCTTTTTATGATTCTAAAATTAGAATTTATTATATGGCATTTATATTAATTGAACCCCGTCGACAGCACGACTTAATAACGACAATTTAATGAAAAGAGAAATTAAAAAAACACGATAAAACGATCAGATTTTTTAGTAAAAATAATAAAATGTCCACTTTTTATACGCGAGAAATGTTTAAAAATAAAAGAAACTAGTGAATTAATTTAAAAAAAAACACATTAAATTATGTTGAACGAGAAACCTTACACGATAATTATTGGGCTGTAATTTTTAAAATTGTACACGTGTACATTTCCATTATCGTTTGTACGTCTGTCTGTCCTTCGTTAATCTCGAAAACGGGGTTAAATGTATGAAAATCAAAACAGAAATGGAAAGTTTATGGGCCAAACACTCCCATTAACTATATACAAACTTCCAGTTTGGATCGGAAATTGCGTGTTGTTTTTAAATTAAAAGCTGATTAAAAATTGCAGCCGGGTATTGTATAGGCCTATACTGTATATACATATATATATAACCGCTTGAGCTAGTAATTCTGATCAAAGAAAAGATATTAATCTATATATTAATTATAGATAAAGAACAAACATTAGGAAAAATAATTAATTATGAGAAAAAAATAACTTTGTTTGGAGAAGGAGCATTCGATAATCGTTATTAAGACGTGGTTAGCCTGTATTATTAAATCTTATTCATAACCCAATTTAATAATTATTTACAGAATTCTGAAAGAAAATTGGAATCTAATAGTAATTGTTTAGATATGAATTTAAGTAAGTTATTTAGATGAAAAAATTATTGTTAAAAATAATTAAATAAGGACGAAATTTTAAAAATTGTATTTCAAAAGAAGAATTTAAGTAAACTTT